AACAAAAGAGGACTAGCATTTAGAACTCTGGCATTGGTTTTGGATAAGGCAATTTCCAACAGGCTTCCTGTAGTACCCCAAAGGTCCATAGATCTTCAAATGTCATTTCTGATCTCAAGCATATCTCAAAGGTCGTAGTGTATTACGTGTCCTTTCCACTGAGACTTCCAAGAGTGAAAGGGCTTACGCAGGTGACAGAATACTACTAAAATCCATTTTTGTCTTTCATCCCAGACCATTGTGCCTGCTTTTACCTGCACTGCTTCTCTCGAACTTGATAGAAAGACATCAGAATTGCCAATGTACCTGTCTTCTGGCATGCAAATCAAATGTTTCTAATATCTAATTTTGAAATATTATTCTATTGAAAATGATGGGCTCTGATGTGTGTGTGTGTGTGTGTGTGTGTGTGTGTGTGTGTGTGTGTGTGTTTAATCATTATGGAATTTGATCATTCTAAGGAAGAGCAAAAACTTGTCCTAAATCACTGCAGACAGTAAAGCTGAAATTTGAAGCAATAAACTCTTCTATTTTGGGAACAATAGATGTGCAGTCAGGAAGAGTTAGGCATTCTAAGAAGGAAATTGTATAGAAAAGCTAACTATTAAGTCAGCTTTTAGAAGTATTAGGATGCAGAGGAGATTAATACAGATAAAGGGAAGGTATGGGCACTTAGCAGATGACAAATGGCACACTCATTGCCATAGAGAGAGCAAACTTTTTAGCTGAAATGGTACTTAGGGGAAATAAATTCAAACCTCAGATGTTTTAGTCAGGAAGTCTCATTAGGATGCAATACGACTTCTCATTATGGGTTATTACACAGTGTCACTAAAAAAAGGAGAGACATCTGAGAGGGACAGGCACAACCAAACAACACTCTTGCTATATCTTGCTCTATATTAATACTGAGTGATATGATGCTATCCTTTCACCAAAAAAGACTCAAAGATTAAAAGTGATCTATTCTGAAATTGCAGCTGTTAGGGTAGAAGTTGTTTGATATTTTTTATTTTGTTTTCGTGTGTGTGTGTGTGTGTGTGTGTGTGTGTGTGTCTGTGTCTGTGTGTGTCTGTGCCAGTACTAGGGCTTGAACTCAGGGCCAGATCACTGTTCCTTATGTTTTGTGCTTAAGGCTGTTGCTCTACCACTTAAGCCACACTTCCACTGTCAGCTTTTTGCTGGTTAATTGGAGATAAGAGTCTCACAGAGCTGGGAACTGGTGGCTCATGCCTGTAATCCTAGCTACTCAAGAGGCTAAGATCTGATGATCTCGGTTCAAAGCTAGCCTGGACAGGAACAACTGTGAGACTTATCTCCAATAAACCAGCAGAAAACCAGAAGTGGCACTGTAGCTCAAGTGGTAGAGAACACTAGCCTTGAGCTCAAGGAGCTGAGGGACAGCACTCAGGCCCAGAGTTCAAGCCTCATGACCAAAAAAAAAAAAAAAAAAGATTCTCACATACTTTCTTCACCGGGATTGGCTTTGAATATCAATCCTCAGATCTCAGCCTCCTAAGAAGCTAGGATTACAGAAATGAGTCCCCAGTGGCTACCAAGAATTTTATGTATATTTTATGTGTCAATTTATTCATTCAAAAAATGTTTGTGGAATTCTACAAAGACTAAAATAAATAAAATATTGTCAAGAAGACAAACATGTTAGCAAATCCTTGTAGTGAACATGCTGGGGGCTTTATTTGATGTATATGGCAAACTTAGAGGCACAGAGGGAGACTGGCAAGAGTTCACAGAAGAGAGAATATTTGTGGCCCATATTTATAGGAAGAAGAAGAGTTTGCCTGGCAGGCCAAAGCAAAAATGGAGAAAGAAGGAAGTCTCCCAGAGGGAGTCGTGGCTTATGCAAATATTTAACAGTATGGGATTTACAATCTCTAGGCACCAGCCACTTTAAAGCTGTGGAGTCTAGATAAGTTAGTTCAATTCTTAGAGTCATTCCTTCTCCATAAAATAAGCAGAGCAATCATCAGCATATATAATTGATTATAAGCATCATTAACAGGGTTGACAGGAGATTATCATCTGTAAGAACTGAATTTTTCTGGCTATTTCTAGATTGCTGTTGTTTTACTAGGTTTTAATACTAGATATTCTTATTATGCTTCCTGCACAGAAAAAGGATCCTAGAACTGAAATTATGGAACTTTCTGCAAATGACACACATTAAAAAGTGGCAGTATTGGGACTTAAACCCAGATGGCTTGGCTCTTCCCTACCTCCCTTCCCCCCACCCCACTTCCTTCCTTCTTTCCTGTACTCCATGTCCTTTGTTGCCTGATGAAGCCTGGGAACACAAGAAATTTGGAGTGCAAGTATGGGATGAGTGGAGATGGGACTGTAGCAGTAGCAGGTTGGAAGGCCATGTTAATGTTTATCACTTAATCAAGAAGGATAGGTGAAAGTATCTTCCAAGGGCTGGCAGGATTTGTCAGGTATGTGTATTGAAAGATCATGGGCAGCATCGTCTTGACAGATGCAAGTAGCCTTCTTTTATGAGCTGGTGCCACATACACTAGATAGTTACTAAAACTGAAATGGTGTGACTTCCTACAAATGGTGACCACAAAAGAAAAGAAGCTGATGTAGAACGTTGATCTGAGAGAAATGTACAAATGGTTATTATTATTTTTGGTTTCAAGTCAAAGGCAAACCTGTGTGCCTAGTTCGTGGCAACACATTAGCAGTAAGAAAAAGAAAGCCAATCTTGAGTGTCATCACAGCTCAAAACAAACTAAACTCAATGAACTGGGAAGTCAATTTTGAGTCTAGATGAAATCAACTTTCTCCAGTGGAGTTTAGTATAACAATAAGCCACTTTCCCTGAGCCTCTTTGTGACAAAGACGACATTATTCAGTTATGAAGTGAGGGTGTGAATGGCAAAGAAGCTAGGACCTCATGTAGAGGGGCATTTGTGACAGAATACACCAAAGTAAATGGTTTACTGTTTTAGATCAGATTACTGATTTGGTACAGATTATTGAAAAAAAATTAGAGGATTCTGAAGATTTCCCATTTTTCTCTCTGGCTTGTGATAAGACAACAGACATAACAAATAGTGCCTAATTGCCATTTTCATTTGTGAGATAACTTGCAGAGTCTGACACTCTAGAACTGCTGTCACTGAAAGCCAAAAGGTCAGGACTTCTTTGAGAGACTTGTTTTTATTAGCATTCTTGAGCTAACATTTGGAAAGTTGGGTGGCTTTACTACAGATGAAGCTCCAGTCATGGTTGGTGTGTCCAAAAGGTTAATTGCATTTGTCAAGAAAGAACTAAGTCATATCCATCTCAATCCAAGTGATTTAATTATATGCCACTGCATACACACCAAGAAGGTCTCTGGATATAAGTGTTGCAGGCCAACAAGGTGATGTCATGCATAAATTTTGTCAAAAGCAGAGGGTTTACTCATCTTGACTCTGATCTTATCACTCTGAAGCAAGGTGGCTGACTAGAAGAACATGCTCATGAGGTTTCATGAACTGAGGATGTAGTCAAGCAGTTCATGGAAACACAGGGAAACCTTTCAGGGAACTCAATGATAGCAACTGTCTGTATGATCTAGCATTCATGGTAAACATTATCAAGTCAAGTAATTATTATGTCAAGCTACAGGGTTCCAACTAGCTTCTCAGTTCCCAGCTTCCAAACATAGACTGAAGCTAAATTAAGGCTGTGGAAAGTGCAACTTGAAAGGAATATCACAGTCCATTTCCTCCATTCTGGAAGGAGGCAAGTGAGTACAAAAATAATTGAGGCATTTAATGTAAGATTCAAGAAAAGTTGACAAATGGAATTGAACATCTTTGCAACACGTTGGATATGGGACTAGATGATGTGTCCAATAACCTACAACATGAAATCATTCAACAGCAAAGCAAAGATGAGCCAAAAGCTAGGTAAAATTCCCCCCCCCCCCCCCCACGGTTTGAGTTCTATAAAGTTACATAAGCAACGATAAAATTTTCCACATGCTTTGAATTGGAATATGCATCTGTATTCAGAACAACTTACTGCTGTAAGCAGTTCTTTTCAGAACTTACCATATCAGAGTTGACTGTGCAAACCTGGAAAAACAATATCAATATCAGCTAATTTCACACACCTCACCAAAGAGAAATGGTTTTAGGCAATCACACTAGGGGTGAGGTAATTAAATATTTGACCAAACATAGGTAGCTAATTTATAAGTTAATAATTTTGTATATCCCAGGAAAACTGTTTTAAATATTCAAATGGCTCCTGGCAGGAAAAAAAGAAGTTCTTACTTAAGGGTTTCACCTCCAGCAGCCTCACTCACCAATGCAGATACCTGCCATGGATCTCCAGGCCATAGCTCTGGAATGGAGCTATTGTTATGGGAAACTGTATTTACTAGTCCTCTAGGTGATTCAATCACCGGTTCCATGAGGGTGGGGGAAAACTATACCTGCAGTATTTAACAGCATGGGGCTAGTAGGTATTCAGTGGCTATTTTAGCAAGGAAGAGTTCTTGCTTGCACCGAGACCAGCATTTGGGTATGATAACAGGGAGATGGTAGGACTGTTGCCAGTAGAGGGGGTAAGATGGTTCAGGGAGTCAGAAGAAGACAGAAATGGAGAGCTCCAGGGTGCCCCCAGAAGTTTGAGTTTTGAGGCCTTCAGGAGACCAAGGAGGGTAAGAAAGGCATGAGAAGAGCTGAGGGAATGCAGCATCCCAAGGCCGGAGTGTGCAGAGGGAGTCTTGATCGCCAAACATGGACCCTCCTCTTCCCTCTGCCCTCCAGCCTAGGGCCTGGGGGTGGTGGTGGAGGTGGTGGGGGTAGGAACCACAGATAGGGGTGGGGGAGGACAGGGGACAATCGAGAGTTTGTCCGTAGCTCAGTTCTTCTGAAACGCTTTGGAGTAGAATAGGAGAAGGCAGGGGTGAGAACGGAATCATTCTGGATTCCAGCTCTGGCGTGACAGCCACGGGATTGGGTGACCTTGGGGAGTCCGTATCATCCCCAGGACTCAGTGTCCCCGCGGGTACTCCACCGACTCTGTGTGTCCTCCTGGGAGCCGTGGAAGGGGGGGGGGGCAGCGGAGGCAGGGCTGGGCCGGGGTGGGACCGCCCACTGCGGCGGGCCAGGACTTGGGGAGCCCGTGTTGCAGGCGGGGCGCACGGGCAGGCAGGCAGGCGCGCGCGCGGGGGGACTCCTCCCGCGGGGTGGGGGTCGCGGCGCCGGGCAGCTGGCCGGGCCCCGCAGCTGCAGCCTCAGCACCTGCCGCCGCCAGACGGCGCGGGCGCGGCCCGGCCCGGAGCCCACCCCGCCCCCCTCCGGCAGCAGCCGCTGCGCGGGAGGCGGAGCCCGAGCCGAACCCGAGCTGAGCCGCTGCCCGCGCCGGCCCCGCCAGCGGCCGTCCCCCCCCCCCCCCCCGGCACGGGGCGGGGCGCCCCTCGCCCCCTGGCTCCTGGGGAGCGCGCGCGTGTCGGCTCGCCGGGTCCGCGTCCGCGCGGGCGGCGCCTCTTCTTGCAGGTAAGGGCGAGGTCCCAGCGCCAGAAAGTTTTGAGGGGAACTGCTTAGACACCCCCACATCCCAGGCCTGTGCCTCGGGGAGCTGCAGGCTGCCTGGCCCCTTCGGCTTTCTCCGCGCTTCCCGCATCCCTGGTCGGTCCCGGGTGGCCAGTGCCTGTCTCCCATCCTCGTGCTCCCCCCACTCCCACCGCGCCCCATTCTCTACGCCGGGGACTCAGCCCATGTGCCGGGTTAAGTTTCCGAAATCTGCGTGGTGGAGTTCGTGGGAAGAGCGGCTCATCGGGAGGTAAACCTGAGTGCAGGTACAGCAGCCGCCAGCGCCAACTTTCCGAGTGACCTCAGACCGGCTGTCCCCCCTGGCCTGGCCTCGACGGCCACCCCTGGACCTGGAGGGTTTGGGCCAGGGACGAGCGATGCCTGCATTGCCATTGCTGGGAGTCGAGGGGCACCCCTGAGTGCCTCCGCTCCAAGACTTATTGGGGGTGTGTTGGGGGATGTAGAGGAATGCTGGGATTTGCAGAAGTTAGTCTTAGGGAGGCGGGGGTCACATCACTAACCTGCTGCAGCTTTAGCTGAGCTTTAGGAGCGGGGTTGAAGACAGCTTTGGGGAGCAAGGGGAAGCAGCCAAGGTTGGGAGTTGGGGCTCTAGATCCTGGTCAGTTGTTCAGGCTGGGTGACCTTGGATAAGGCCCCCCCACACACACACACAGGCTTTGACACCTCAGTATTGACTAGGATGTGTGTTGAGGTCCTTCAGTTGTAAACTCTAAAGAAGTAGAAGCTTGGGCTCTCTGCCTTACAGGGTCCGTTTGGGTGAGACCTTATTTTATCAAGAATCCATCCAGCACTTGCAAACACCGGGTGTTTAGAAAATAAAGGAAGCACTTGCCATTTGCTTCAGGAGGCTCAAAATAGACATGGCAAAGATTGGTGAATGCTCGCCTTGCCTCCTTCAGTGCTTTGGACCATCATGAAATATTCAACGGCATAATGATTTGTTTTTAAAGTGGCTTATAGATCAGGAAATGTTTCTGTTTGTGAGGCAGTTATTTTTGCAAAACCTCAAAAAAAAATTGAGGGTAGGGGGGGGCACATAATGCACTTTTCTAGGGGGTCCAGAAAGAGAAACCAAGCATGGAAGCTTGGGAAGGATGGTTGAGATGCTTTCCAATTGAGACTATTTAAAAATCACGCCTAAATCCGCCACCCCTGGTGGTCGCTGGACATAGGTGTGGCTGGAGAGGCCAGTAAGTACCTGTTTTGTGGGGACAGATGGAGTCTGGGGCAGCCCCAGAAAAATGAGCACAATGAGATAGTCAACGGTGACATGCTAGAAGGTGAGTTTTGTTCTTTTGCCCAATATCTTGTGTTATAATTACTGTCTGTCCAGTGTGTGGATGAAATACATTACTATGAAAAGATGCAATCATGGAAGTGCTTTTTTATTACTATATTTCCTTCCTAGACATCCTGGTTTTGAGTTTCAAGCTTTATGAAGTCAGAGTGTTGGTAGGAGTATGTTTTGTGACTGAAGCCAAGTTGTATATGTTTGCCTTTCCCAAGTGGTACTCTGTATTTGGAGCTAATTTGTCCAGAGCCTTTTATCTATCAGATGTATTCAAACGCAAACTTGATTTCCACTCCCTTCTTCATTCTTTACTGGCTCAGCAAGCATATTCTCACCCCTCATTCCGAAAGTAAACAAACGATGAACATTAGCTCAAGACCCTCTACTGGAGGAGCTCAGGTTTATCTCCTGGGACTGTCTAGCTAGAGGGTACAAGAAGCGTGCACACTAGAAGAGGATTTCAACAGGTGGTGAGGAATGGAAGAGTCTTTTTTAAGTCAAGGAACTGGAATGAGTGCAGACACAGAGTGAGGAAAGCACAGATGCAGATGACAACAGTCTGGTGGAAGCACAAAGCAGAATAATCCACAGAAGAGACTTGTGGGAAGAGGTTCTGCAGGTTCCAGACCTGGGCTTGAATCTCCACTGGCTTTGGGACCCTGGGATTCTGACCTTTGCTTTCCTCATCTGTTAAAAAAGAATAATAATAACTCTCAATTCATAAGATTAAATGAGATTATATGACCAGGTACCTAACAGGGTGTTTGTGTGTGACAGACATTTGATAACAGTTGGCTCCTTTTGTGTGTGTGTGTGGTGTGTATTTATGGACAAGTTCAATATACTTCTGGGCACTATTAAGAGTATAAAAATGATGTGTAGTGTGGGTTTTTTTTTTATTGGGATGATGGCATATCTCTAATCTCAGCACTTGGGAGACAAAGGCAGGAGGATTGCAAGATGGAGGCCAGCCTTCATTACAGGGAGAGAGAGATTGTGTGTGTGAGAGAGAGAGAAAGAGAGAGAGAATGGTGCCTTTTGTTTAAGCTTGTGCATTGACTTATACCTCTCACCCAGGATGGAGGTCCTGTGACAAAGGGATGGATTCTCAGGGTGCCGCCTGATTCCCAAGACAGGAACTTTTTGTTATTTGGAGGGTGTTCAGATCAGATGCTGACATGAACAGTAGCCAAAGTCTTGCAAAGACTGTTAGGTGACAACCCACAGATTCGGGTTAAATCAGAAGACTTGGTCCCTGCCTCCCACAAGCTTATCACTCACTGTGTGCTCAAGGACCCAGGTGGGAGGATCTGACAGTAGAAACAGTTACAAATATATCAGCTTTGTCCATACAGGCTGGGAACTGGGCTTCCTTTCCACAAGAACAGGACAGGAGGGTGAAGAACAACCTGATGGCCTTGTGCCTACGATGTAGCATCCATGGAACTGTCTTGCACTTGTTCACTCAAAAGTAATTCTTAAATGCCTCTCATGTCAGAGAATTGTTTTAGGTGCCTCAGGAACACTTTGGAACGAAGGGCAAGTCCTTACCTTCTTCAAGGAAGGCCAGTTGAAAAACCATAATAAATATAATTTTAGTTGAAGAAACATAATAAACAAGTAAATACAAGAGCAAGGTAATTACAGGTTGGAAAGGACTGGGAAGGCAATATGCAGGGTGATGTGAGGTAATAGATGTGGCACATGGGGACAGCTCAGGGAAAGGAAGCCGGTAGCTTATGGAGGAAAATGCAGGCTCTAGGCCACATTGCTTGGCTTTGCATATTGACCCCTCCTCTCACTAAATACATCCTACCATCAAGTTGTTTTAACTTCTGGGCTGGAAATACTTCACACTGCACATAATCGCAGTATCTATTTAGTAGGGTAGGAGGATTAAAAAAGTTGATATATGTAAAGTACTTTGACTAGTGTTAGGTATGTGGCAAAGGCCAGATCAAAGTTAAACTAAGGGAGGGGAACTGTTCCACTTAGAGGGGACAGCAAGTGTCTGGAAGGGCTTGATGAGCTCAAGGATGAGACAGGCCACCTGCACAGATATATCATCCTCACAATTACTAGGGAGACTCCATACCAGATTCTACCTCTGCCACACTGAAATGGGTTTCAAGAGTTTTGTGGAAAGAATCATTTGGCCACAGCACAGAATGGGCCCAGAGTAGGCTATCTGAGAGATATTGCACAGTGAACCCTTTTTTGAAGCATCTCATGCTCTCTCTTCCTCCTTTCCTTCTATTTTCTACCCTCTCTTGCCCCTTCTTTCTTTCTGTTCTGTTCTTTCCTCTCCCTTGCTCTCTCTTCTTTCTTATTTCCTCCCCCTGCCTTTCCTTTCCTTTCTTCTCTTCTCCTCTCCCCTCCCCTTCTCTTTTCAATGCCAGCCCTGAAGAGCAGTGCCCCTTTGGTGCTCATTAATGTGTGAAGGAAAAACTTGATTGAGTCCTGCTGACCCTCTGGTGCTACCGGCTTTGGTACTAGAGCACTGAGTTTCCTCTTTGCTGTGGGATACCCGTGGTCCTTCCCCCTTCCCCCTCCCAAGCCAGAACCTCTACAGCAGAGGAGAACAGTCATCTGTGACCTTGAGGATAGTGTCTATGACCTTGTCCTCTCCCTTGCTCCCTCCTTACTCTATAAGTGTTGATCACCAAACCCTGTCTCTATATTTCCAGAATCATCCTCAAACATACCCCCCCCACCTTTCTATTCTGTCTCTGAATATCAAGTGTCTGTCCTTTCTACCCTAAAGTAAAGCGTCTGATCATGTCACATTCCTCCTCAGAGACTTTCCCTTGTGTTCTCTGTGTGTGGAAATCCAGAATCCTCAGCCCAGCAGATGTGATACTATCTCTGTTGCATCTCTCAAACCCATCCTATCTCAATGACATATTCTTCACTTTTAATCCTTTCCCCTCAACCCCAGGTCTGTTTCTGGCCTCTGATGTGTGCCTTGACTTTGGCGGTCTTGTCATACCGGAGGGCTAAGCTCAAGCTATACCTCCTCTGGGAATCTGTCTTTCTGATCCCAGGATTTTCATCAACCTCCCCCCTCCATCACTCATTGGCCTTGGTGCTTCTTATGGAGAGGCAGTTGCTGTCAGCCTTGAAGTATTTTGTGTGTGGTCACTTGTATATGTGGCTTCGACCCACAAAGAAACCCCAAGAATGCTTGGTACAATGTCCCACTTCTATCCACCCCTCAGCCCTTTTCATGGAGCCTAGCACTAGCGCAAGCTTGACAACGTGCTTGTTGTTCTAGATTGACAAAGCCTGTGATTTTCCTTAGATCTGAAGTGATTTGAATCACGCCAGAAACAACGATGCTCTGGCTGACTTGCTTATGGCATTCTGATGCCTCCAAATAGATTCAATGAACAGTTGATGTTTCCTCAGTGAGTCTGAATTTTGAATTTAATTTTCAAAGTGACCTATTTTAAATAAATATGCTGTGTATAATTTTAACCTTCAAGCTTTTGATGATAATTGTTTATTTTATTTAAAAAAAAGCACTCTTTACCATACAAAAAGATCTGTTATGGAAAGCATTTTAAATACCAAACAGCTAATGCCATTCAAAGTACACTATTATTTATGCACAGCTGTTATAGTTGATTTTGGCTATATTTTAAGATATACACTGAAGTTAATGTATGTTCAAGGAAACAGTAGCAATGCTAGATTAAATTTGTTTAATAGATTATGTTTGCAAATATATGTTTTTATTTTAAGATGTGTGTGTATGTGTGTGTGTGTGTGTGTGTGTGTGTGTGTGTGTGTGTGTGTGTGTGCTTTTCTTGGGGCT